CCCGGGGCCTTGGTGTTATTAGCACCGCACTCTACCGAGTGAGCCACGGGCCGGCCCCGTGTTACATTTAAGAGCACTCTAGCCCCAAAGGGGAAAATGACTTCTCCCAGAATACCCAGTGAGTATTAGTTTATTATTCTAAGTTGTTTGAAGGAGGTCCTGGCCAGTTCCTCTAAGCAGGTGTTTGTCCCCATTCACTCCCCACTCTCACATATACTTTACACAGGTTCTTAATTATTGGGCAGAGTATTCCCTCTCCCCAGCCCCTACTCATGCCCTCACCTGGCTGCAGGGTCCCCACAGGGCTTTCTGTTTGGTTCATAGATGGGCCAGAGTCCGTGGGACCAGGGATGAGGGACTTGGGGGTATCTGGGGTCTCCAGTGCTCCTCTTACCCGCTGGGGGGAGATGGGGTCTGCCCCATTCATTGCTGCTATCTCTGAAATGACAAAAGCAGTTATCAACTTGCCTGACCCTCCAGCGGTCCCCAAGTCCAATCCCTCAAGAGGAAGGCACAAGCACCCTCATTTGCTGGAATGAGGAAAATGGGACCCGGAGATCACAGAGAACCAGGGCACCCAGCTGCCCTGGAACACCATCACCTCCCAGCCCTGTTCAGCATCCTCACTGAACTTGAGTATCCTCATCCTCAGCATACTCACCTGGCTTGGGCTGTCCATCAGGAGCCTCTGAGGCTGGAGGACCTGAGGGCTGGGGTCCTGGTGAACCCTTAACATCGGGGAGGTCAGCTTGCTTGGCCGGGGGACCTGGGGAGCTGACTTCCCAGGTCTCTCCAGCTCCAGTCTTCTCGGGGGGCTCAACTGGCAGCTCCTCGGCAGGAGGAAGGCTTCTGGCCAATGCCAAGTCTGGCTGGGCCCCAGGCTCCTGAGAGGATGCCACCTCAACTGGGGATACTGAAGCAATATCAGGAGCTGCTGGATCTTTTTGGGTGAAGAGGGGGCCTTGAGCTGCCTCCTGGAAGTCCTCCTTATCCCCACCCTGTTCTTCCAGCATTGGCCTCTTGATGGTGCCTGAGTGGGGCACAAGAGTGTGGGCAGGGTGCTGGTGGTCCAAAGGAGAAGTCTGTGAGATCTCAGACTTGGCTTTGGCCTTCAGACCGTCATCTCTTTGTGGTCGCTGTGCTGCTTGGCCCTCAGGCTCCCGTGGGGAGGAAGGAACTGTAGCTACCCTGAGTTGAAGTCTGGGAGCTGTGGAATTGAAAGTGAGGTGGGGGAACCCCACGGGGTGGGGGGCCAGTGCTTCTTGCTCCAGAGGCTCCTGAGAGTCAGGAGGTCCTGTCCAGCCCTGGGAACTTGGCCCTCGAGCCATCTGGAGGTCATCAGTTACTGGGAGTCGTTCTCTCTGAGTCCCATGGGCTGCTTTGGGCCCATGCAGGGCTGGGCCAAGGAGAGAGTCTACAGGCCTCTGAGGCATCTTTTCAGCAGGGAACTGGGGGACAGCAGAGTTCCTGGGGTTCTCATCTCTAGGGCTCTCCCAGAGGAAGTCAAAGTCATGGGGCTCTGACCCTACAGGGCCATTGGGGTGGGCTCCTAGGATCAGGTGGATTTGTGAGTCCTCAAGTGGCCTAGGAAGGCCCCTGCCTGGGACAGGGCCAGCCCCCAGGGACGGCAGCAGCAACAGCAGCAGTCAGTCAAAGTCATGGGGCTCTGACCCTACAGGGCCATTGGGGTGGGCTCCTAGGATCAGGTGGGTTTGTGAGTCCTCAAGTGGCCTAGGAAGGCCCCTGCCTGGGACAGGGCCAGCCCCCAGGGACGGCAGCAGCAACAGCAGCAGTAGGCCACATATAAGGCCCCATGGGCTGGGGGTCATGGTCTACTCCAATGCCTGGGCCTAGAACCCTCAACTTCTAGTCCTCACTGGATGAGCCTATAAAAAAGGAGAGGGGAGATGATACATGAGCACTGCGGACTTCCATGGCTTCCCCAAGGGGCTAGTGGGAAAGAAAAGAGCGACAGCCTGCTTTTAAAACTTTTAAATCTGCATCTCTGGTCATGCCACTTGCCCTGCTTCAAACCTTCAGTGGCTCCCCACTGCCCTCAGGAGAGAATACAAGCTCCTCTCCTGGCCGTCCAAGGCCTCAGCCACACCAAGCTGCTCACCTATCCTCCAACACCCACTGGAGTGTCCTGGTCCCCATGTCTTTGCTTATGCTGTTCCCTCAGCTTGGAATGCCCTCTCCCTTCTCCTTCACTTGCTGAAATCCTATTCTTGAAGGCCCAGCTCGAATATCAATCAGAAAGGTGGAGAGATAAAGGCACATGGACATGCCTTTGAGGAGGGACCTGAGTTTGAATCCCAGCTTCGCCATTTCCTGGGTGAGTTCCTTTACCTCTCAGGTTTTCCCATCAGTAAAATGGGGATAATAAATATACCTAACTCAAGGGGGCTCTTATAAGATTTAGAGAACAGAACACATATGGCCAAGTCCACAATAGGAGCTTAATAAGCAGTAGAGCCCTTTCACTTTTCCCTTTGTCCAGAAAGCCTTCTCTCTCCCATCCCCCTTAACTATTTCAACAAATAATTGAACACATACTTTGTGCTAGGCCCTGGGATAAAGCAGTGGACAAGATCGACAAGATTGTTCTCATGGAGCTGGCATTCTCAGTAAGAAACAGACAATAAATACTTTTAAATAAGGTTAGCTATGAAGAAAATAAAACGAGGTTCAGAGATAAAGGGATGAGACATATTTACACAGGGGGTGCCAGGAGGCCCTCTCTGAGGTGACATTTAAGCTAAATGCTGAATGATGAGAAGGAACCAGCCTTCTGAAGATTCGGGGGGAAAGCATTTGGCAGAGGGAAGGGCAAGTGCAAAGGCCCTGAGGCAGGAGCGAGCTAGGTGTGTTCAAATAAGAACACTTGTGTGGTTGGGGCACAGCAAATGAAGGGGAAAATAGCAGGAGATGAAGTCAGGAAGGCAGAGGCTAGATTGAAAGGGACTTTTAGGCCACAGTAAGGCATCTGGATTTTATTCTCCATGCCACAGGAAGCCACTGAGATGGCAAGCATGAAGTGACAAGGTCTGAATAGTGTTTTAAAAGGGGGAGAGAAAGGCCAGGGCAAACTCCCAGGTAAGATATGATGGTGACTTGTTTCAGCTTAGACATTCCTCCTCCAGGAAGCCTTCCTTTCCTGACCCTCCTGGGCACTGGTCACATTGTGTAGTAATTTCTCTCCCCCACTGGGGGAGAGTAATTTTCTCTCCCGCCTCTTTCATTTCATACCTCCAACCTCCTGTATACACCTGGCCCCCATATTCCCTCTAGGTTCCTGTTCCCAAGAGTCCCTAGGTAGGCCAGGGAGGAAGGAAGGGACTCCAAGACCAGGAGAGGGGGCACAGTGGCTATGAATGCTGAGGCCTGGGTGTGTTTGGGGGCAGAGGCCATGCTCTTTTCCTCTCTGGGAAGCAGCTGTCCACAAAGCTCCCTGGCTCCTAACCCTTGGTGACTCACAGACACCTTGAGAAGCCGCTGAAAACTCCAGGTGTTTCTCCCTGGGAAAATGCCCGGGCTCACCAAAGCTTGTGGACAATTCTAGCGGGTTTAAAGACCTCTTAGGACTATTCCCCAAACCTAAGTTTAGACTCTGCCTTAAAGCTTTGTTAGTTCATTGCACAAACATTCACTGAGCCCCATGCTCTACTTCTGGCCCAGGCTGGGGACCCACAGAGAGGCCTCAGCTCCAGGGTTGGGGAGTAAGGGTGAGGTGAGGGGGAAGGACTGAGGCCCCTAATACAGGTACTGGTTAACAGTAGTGCTCCTGTGTTGAGTTCTTACCCGGTAGGCTCCTGTGCTAAGCTCCCAGTACAAGCAGGTGTGGATATACCCATTTCACAGGGGAGGAAACCGAGGTTCAGAGAGGTTCAGCAATTCGACCAAGGTCACACAGCCAGCTGAATGGACACACTAGGGGTTGTGAAGCCTACAGTGGCTCATCTTGCACAGGCGGTCTGAAAAGCTTTGCAGAGGAGATAGATGGCTGAATTGGGCCTTCAGTGATAAACATGTCATCTGCCCACCCCCCCAAACCAAGATTTGTGGGCACCTACGGACGAGGTGGGGATTCGCCCAGCTGCGGGGTTCCACTGCTTGAGAGATTTTCGGGATGAGGTGGGGGTGGGGGGGATCTCGCTGCGCAGGGACTGGGGAGAGGCTGGCTTTGGGGCAGGGCAGGGCCTCCGCAGGGCAGTCTCCGGGAGCTGGTCCATCTCGGGTTACCTCTCCTCCTCCTCCTCCTCCTCAGTCTCCTCTCTCCCTGGCTCCGCGCCTTTCCGCAGTGTCCCGGGCGGGGGTGGGCGCCGAGCAGGCCTCGAGGCCCGCGCCCACGAGGGGGCTGCAGGCCTTGCTCCCCGCCTGCCCCCGCCCCCGGCCAGCTCCTCACCTGGGCGCCGCAGCCCCGCGTTCACCTTGCGCGCGTCCCTGCAGCCGCGGCCGCGCCGCATCCTCCCGGGTGCTCAGACTGAGCCTGCAGAGCCCCGCGCTGCCGATCGCGGGCCCGCCCACAGCAGCACCAGCCCCGCTTAACCCTTTCCCGAGGCGCGGACTCTTCTCCCAGTCCCGACCTCCCCTCTCTCAGAGAGTCTCAGGGCTCAGAGAGGAACTGAGGTCATCTCCGAGGGACGTGGAAGTCCCCTCTACAACATCCCTGCAAACCGGGCAGCCAGCCTCTGCTTGCATACCTCATGGGACGGGAAGCTCACTGCCTTTTTATCTATCTAGGGATATACCTATATCCTTACAGGAATACATGCATACTTGAACCTGTGGGTAAATCCTACCTACGGCTTGATGGTATCCTTCAGATCTTTTTTAATGCAGTTACACATACATATTATACAAAAATGAGATCATGCTGTACATATTGTTTCTGTAACTTGCCTTTTTTTCCTTCACTTTACAATAAATCCTGGCACATTTTTCATGTAAAGATCTACCTCATTTCTTGAGTCTGCTGCTCAGAATTCTAGCATATGGTCATTTTTATTTAGCCTGTTCTCTGTGGTTGAACACTTAAGTTGTTTCTAGCCTTTTGCTGGCAGGAATAATGAGGCAGGGGCCATTCTTGCATAGACATCTCTGTGCACATGCACTATGATCCTATCAGATAATTTCCTAGCTGAGGTATGGTTAGATCTATGGGTCTGCACATTTGCAGGACTGATAGACACTGTCAAAATACCCCAGGTCCCTCTTTGGATAGCTCTTGACGTACTAAACATCCATCATGAGGTTCAATCCGTTAAGGAAAACCCACACAAGAAATACATGTGGTTATCAAAAATTATGTAGAACCTTTAATGGCATGGAGAAATTTCCAGGGTAGGTTGTTATTTATTTAAATTTTAGTCATTTGAATTATAAAAGGAACATATGCTGACTGTCTCAATTCTCATAACACAGAAATGTTCAAAGAACGAGTTAATTGTCTTATCCCTGGCCATTCTAACTCTGTCCCACACACGCACCCACTGTTAGCACCAATCCTTTGCTTATGAAAACACACATATGCATACATATTTTTACAAAAACGCGATCACACTATGTATGTTATTTTATAACATTGTTTTGCCTTAAACAATGCAAATATAAGGGCCGGCCCATGGCTCACTTGGGAGAGCGTGGTGCTGAAACACCAAGTCAAGTGTTAAGATCCCCTTACCGGTCATCTTTAAAGAAAATAAAAGCAAATATATGTTGGAAACATTTTTTTTTTCCTTTTTGTCTTTTTTTCGTGTCCGGCAAGGGGGATCGCAATCCTCAGTGTCGCGCCCGTACCGGACCTGACCGGCAACGGGATCGCAACCCTCGGTGTTGCGCCCACACCTCGCTCAGCCAGTGAGCAGGAACCAGTCTGCATGTGGGATCCGAACCCTTGGCGGGAGCGCCGCCACGCTCCCAAGGGGCGCACTGTAGCAGTGCGCCACTGGGCCAGCCCTATGTTGGAAACATTTTGAAGGCAATACTTGATTAGCTCCACACTTTGCGTGGTGAGATGTACTGTCATTTACCCAAACATTCCCAGTATTCCCCTATTGATAGGTAATCAAGTGGCTTACAATTTTTTCTTTTCTACTAGAAACAAAACTTCAGTAAACATCCTTACATGCCAATACATACATCCTTACATGCTTATACTCTAATTCTGAGTTAATTATTTGTATGACCCCTTTTTGTTAATATCTACCAATCTATCTGTCCATCCATCCATTTCATACTTAAATATTAGAACATAAATAGTGGCTGGGCCGGCCCGGTGGCGCACTGCTACAGTGCGCTGCTTGGGAGCGCAGTGGTGCTCCCGCCGAGGGTTCGGATCCCACGTACAGACCGGCCGCTCACTGGCTGAGCGAGGTGCGGGTGCAACACCGAGGGTTGCGATCCCGTTGCCGGTCCCGGTCCGGTACGGGCGCGACACTGAGGGTTGCGATCCGTTGCCGG